GGGGGGGGGGGGGGGGGGGGGGTGAAAATTCAAAAAAAATTCGTGCAAAGAAAAATGCCTGGAAAAAAATTCGTGCAGCCATTACGTCAGAGAAAAAAATCGTGCAAGCAAAGTGCAAATAGTCTTGAAAAAAAATCTTTGCAGAGGTTAAATGCATTAAAAAATCCTGCAGAGACATGAGACTGAAAAAAAAATTGTGCCACGAAAATTTTATACCCCCCCCCCTCCCGGGATTTCTAATGGTCGCCCCTTATTCGTATATATGCATAGAAACTAGAATGTTATTCCAAAAACTCGTTTTCTATTTTCGCCTATCAAAATCACGAAAATATAGTCTGGCGAAATTTGTCTGGGGTACTAGTATGGTTTCGAGTGCAATTTGAGAAAAACCATGCACGAGTGAGTTTTGGGGGGAAAACATGCACGCGTGAGTTGCACGAAAAACCATACTATTACTGATTAATAATATATATACATGAAAAATTATGCAGTCACTTCTAAAAGTAAAAACTCCTAAGCCAATCAGAAAGCCTATATAGTCATGAAATTTGCACTGTATTTCTTTTTTTTTTTGCACTGTATTTCATATTTTGGCACTGCATTTCGAAAAAACTACTCTTAGCCAATCAGAATTTAGAAATTTTATCATGTATATTATTATTTTTAAAATAACGCAAAATTGTGGTAGCTAGTTTTCGAATCGAATATCCCATAACGTGTAAAATGTTTCTCAATCTTCTTCCAGGTCTGGTGGCATTCTACTGTAAGTTACTAATCTTAATAATTTGAATTTCTTTGCAGTCCAACCGTGGTTGGAAATCTTTGGGACGTCACAGATCGTGATATTGATAAATTCACTACAAATTTACTGCACCTGTGGTTTAAAGATGATAATCTTTCTCTCACGCAATGTGTGACACAATCCCGCCATGTTTGTAACATGAAGTATATCAATGGTGCGGCACCAATAGTCTATGGCATGCCTGTGTATACACGCACTGTGAAATAATAAGTTGAATTGTGAATGACCAGATACATTCTTTCTACAAATATGTACAAAACAATGTACATGCAAACGCTTCTACAAATATGTACAAAAATGATGAGGCAACACTTTGTTTTTATCGTATAGAAGCAGACGAGAGTTAAACTGAATTTTTCTGAACACATATCAATTGTTTCATGATAAATCCTTTGATTTGGTTCTTGCTATAGCAATTATTAAAGAAAGAACGTGACATTTCGAACAAAGGCCCTTCGTCAAAACAAGAGTTTTTTCACCATTTTAACCCCGTTCACACGGGCACAGATGAATTCGGAACCGTACTCAAATTCGTCCGCGGTTCTACATTTTCACACGGAACCGGATGAATTTTAGTCCCGAAAGTATTTACTTCGGCCTCAGTCAGTCTCAATCCTCTACCGTGCAAAATGGTCTTAAAAAAGACCGGTTCCGCTGTTCACTTGGCGCCGTCTAATTGACCTTGTGCATAATGACGTCACAAGGCTTGATGCCCGCGAGGAATACTGGTCTTAATAGTCATCGCCCAGGAAAATTTCTATAGTGGCCATTTTGAATTGTTTAATTTTCCCGGGCGATGACAACTAAGACCAGCATTCCTCGTGGGCATCAAGCCTTGTGACGTCATTTGTGGTCTATTGAGGAACCATTCTGCTACAAAACGAAACCTAATTTTATTTGGTCTCGTATTCGTACGGTTAACCGTGCTGGAATTCGTCCAGCTTCATGCGTCCCGTGTGAACGCAGGGCGAGATCGGTCGAATTTGAGTACGGTTCTAAATTCATCCGGCTCTGTGTTAACGGGGTCTTAATCGATATTTATATATCTATTCAACATAAAAAAAACAAAATCTATCCAAAAAGGCAAATATTTGATTTGAAAACTTCTATACGATTAGATTGCGGGTAGAAAACTTTGAATAAGGAAGTGGTGCACATCTGTTGTTGTGTAGAAGACATAAGGATTGATTCGAAGGCTCGAAGCTCAATCAATTTTATTTTGTAAATATTATATATTGAGATAACTTCACCGACTATATTAAAAATTAAAGTTTTTAAGTTGTGTCTTTTTGCAAGTGTACACACTTATATGTGAGTTTATATGGACGTTATACCCAGGGTATCCACGTGCCTTGAAAATCCTGGAAAGTCCTTGAATTGGAAAAAATTCCAGGACTGGAAAGTCCTTGAAAATCTGTAGAGGTCCTTGAAAGTCCTGGAATTAATTTCCTTAACCTCCAGCTGTGCCAACATTAGTGATTTCGATTAAAATTACTGAATAAAGTGAATTATTTACGGAAAATCCGTGCCATTTTCAAAGATTTTTTCCAGTTCTGGGTCCTTGAATTTCCTGAAAATGGGCCTTGAAAGTCCTGGAAAAGTCTTTGAATTTCACCAAAGGGTGGACACATACGGCCAGGCTTCCTTGCCATCCTACTTTTCCTACTTTTTCCTACTTTTCTTCAACTTTCCTACTTTTCCTATTTTTTATTAAAAATTGCTTGATTTTCCTACTTTTTCTCATAAAATCCTACTTTTTTAAGACAGCTTGGGAAATCAGTATGTTATAGCTCTCGTAATTAGATCTATAAGACTCGTAATTTTTATTCCCTATTTGTGTCCCAGATAAAAGGATCTCAGGAAGAGAAGAAGTACATTTTCCCAGTATAAAACTCCATAGCATTGCTAGATTCATAATCAATAAATTAATGAAGACTGAGAATGCCATTTCCGACGATGTAGAGATTCCAAATATTCAATCCCCTCATTTATCAAGCATCATCATATGCTCCTGCCGCACAGTGTGGATTAAGGTGTATGGCCCAGTCAAATACATTCATGCACTCGCACGCATAACGCACTTGAATTGTGTTGCTGCAGAGCAGATGCCTTATAGCTTTTATACCGATGCAACAACATTCATTGTCTTTAATATATCATTTTAAACGTTTTGAGAAAAAATCCTGCATAGATGAATGAGTGCAAAAAATAGTGAGCACCAAAAATTCACACAACTTCCCCATCGGATATCTAATGGTCCACCCCTTACCAAATATATCCTAGGGGGGCAATTTTGTATATTATTGTATTATTTGCATCTCCAAAAACTCCTACTTTTGTCCTACTTTACTACACATTTTCCTACTTTATTCCTACTTTTCCTAACTAATTCTAGTCCTACTTTTATCCTGCTTTTCTACACAAGGATGCCAGAAAGCCTGCATACCATATTTGTAAGTATGTTCTTACAACACCCATGATGTTATTGGGACTTTAAACATTGAGAAAATTATTTAACAACATACAGAACATTCTTTTAGATGGTGTGCCTCTGGTGTGCTCACACCGGGCAAGCTGAAAAGTTTGCTTGAGAATCATTTAGTGATATTTTGGAACTCAACTTTGATATCAGTGTATGTAAGAGGAGAATATTTTGTATATGTTACTTAACAATCGCTAAAACTATGACTGTATTCAACTTTTGATACGTTTCTCAAGCGGCAAACAAACTTAAAAAGTATATTAGTGCTTATCTCTAAAATTATGCTAAAATAAAGAGATTTTGGATGGTACTCCAAAGAGAAAATGATGTCTGAAGTTCAGGTATAGGGTGGACCCCCACCCCCAGTCACCAGGTAGTCGGCAAAATATAATGATAATAATAATAATGAATACTCAAAACAAACGTCTGAGTTTACATATTAAGAATATTGCAATTAGATTGTTACCAGGCTCGAATTTTAACTCGGCAATTGCCGTAGAGGGAGAACAAAATGCCGTGGATCATTGCAGCAACGGCGGCAATATTTTGCCGTATAGTGCAATTTTTATACTAGAGAGTTTAAGATACCCCGGTTTCGGTGTACGGGTACGAGTAGTGTCATCTTGTTTACTAGTTTTTACTGATGTCTGTAATTCAATCATACATTTTCTGTTTTCTTGCAATAGACAATGATATAATGCGAAAAATGTGACCTTAATTACGAGTAAAGGTACAGACATGGACGAAAATATTGACAACCAAAATCATGCTACCCGTACCCATACACCGAAACCGGGGTATCTTAAACTCCCTACTATTCACTGTGCATTACTATTTTGTCTTTGATACTTGAATTCAGATGTTGATCAAATCATGCGTAAATTACTATTTTAGTCTCAGTTTTCTTCGAAAAAAAAACTAAAAAAATACGTAGACATGTTTCTAGCTAGTTGTCAAAAATCCAAAGTAATAATAAAATTAAAGTTTTATTAAAGTGATTTGAAAAATGCCTTGGGAACTGCCAAAATTGCCGTTAGGTAGACAGCTGTTACGTTCCACAGCAATTTTTAACGCCATTGCCGTCGATTGATTTCAGGGAAATTCGAGGCCTGATTGTTACAGATATTTACATCAATTTTTTAGTACTTTAGAATTCTAAGGTATAAGAATATAGATAGTTTATATAAAATTGAAAAGACATCTATTTATAAACGCGTTTTTGAACCTCTCAGTTTTAACAATTGGTAGTTCAAAGTCATGACCTCTTTATAACTTACTATAGGTAAAAGATTGTGTAAAGCATTCTTATCATCGTTTATAATTTTTGACCATAATTTATTGTCTCTTCCATATTATTGCTTTAAAATCTGATCGATCTGTTGCTTGTATAACCATTTCTATAGGCACGATTGACAAACTTATCAATCTGACTTACGTATTTGTAGTACGATGCTCCACCCCAAACTTCGGCTGCAAAGGTGAAAAGAGAGACTATAAGGGCGCTTTCCTTTAACACGGCCAAACCGGTCAGAACGGTCAAATTGTTGAATGAAACACAAAACATTTGGGCTTCGGACCTATCTGACTGGAAAATTTTGAAAACATTAGAATGAGGTCCATTTTCGCTGGATATTTGAGAAACATAGACCAGATCTTTCCATTGATACAGAGAAAAGAATTCGGGTCTGACCGGTCAGAGTCGTCAGACCATTAAATGGAAAGCGCCCTAAGACTATTAAAGAGAAGATCCATGCAATTGATGCGTAGAGAGCCCGTAATGTTTGCAAACTCTTAGAATATACATGCTTCTACTGACTTTTTTCATCATCTCTTCAAAATGTTTATCTCATTTTCCAGATATATTTCTTCCATCGTGACACCCAAAATTTGAGCCATTCTTTCCGTATTATGGATGGAATGTGTTCCGGAAGGGGAGTAGACACTTTTCCGCGAACTATCATTTCATAGGTTTTCTCCATGTTTAAAGACATACTGTTCTCATTTGACCATAGTTTCATGTTTTCCACTTCATCCCCAGCTGAATCTTCGCAATCATAAACTGGTGCTATATTAATAGTTTTGTGGAAACACCACGTAAATTTATTACTGCAAAGCTAATAATATGTGACTTGTTTAATTCACACGCTCCTTTTATCACAGAATACATACCGGACCAGAAGTGACACTCCTATGTGTTTTGGCTGAAGGAAAACGACCGAAATTTTTTTACCTGCTATGACGCCATCCTGGAGTGCACACGGAACTTTGTACCCATGTTTTTCTTAAGGCCGGCGCACACTAGAGCTATGTGCTTAGCAAAATGTCATTCGTGACTGTTGGCGTAAGGAGATAGCTCTCGTCTGCGGGCGATTTACGAACGACTTTTGTCATTCGTGCCACTTACGCCAAATATCTAACATGTTTGATAATTTCTGCCTCACGTGCCAAAATCTTTCCGTGTGCGGCGAACGAAAGCTATCTGCTTACGGATTGTCGTAACAGCGCATGCGTAGTATACGAAAGTAAACATCCAAGATGGCGGCGCAAAATGAATTGCTGGCCGAGGCAATTTTAGAGGACAAACTTACTGGCTATTTCTTTCACCGCACATTCCCTTTTGTCCCTATTTCTAAAATCTGCAGAACTCACATCGTCTAAACATTTGTATTCAGGCCAAAGTTCGACAAGTTTGTCCTCTAAAATTGCCTCGGCCAGCAATTCATTTTGCGCCGCCATCTTGGATGTTTACTTTCGTATACTACGCATGCGCTGTTACGACAATCCGTAAGCAGATAGCTTTCGTTCGCCGCACACGGAAAGATTTTGGCACGCGAAACAGAAATTATCAAACATGTTAGATATTTGGCGTAAGTGGCACGAATGACAAAAGTCGTTCGTAAATCGCCCGCACACGAGAGCTATCTCCTTACGCCAACAGTCACGAATGACATTTTGCTAAGCACATAGCTCTAGTGTGCGCCGGCCTTAAGAAAAACTTCCGTGTGTACTCCAGGATGGCGTCATATGATGGCGTATTTTCACGCCAGCACTCGTAAAATTTCGGACAAAATATCGTTTGAGTGACACTTCTGGTTCTGTATCTATTCTGTGTTTTTATATACAAAAGTGTCGTGATCTGTTGGCTCGCGTCATTTGAAATTTAATTAAACGGCACATCAACGACGTCATTTCAAACGTAGTAAGTGATTCCAATTAACGCGCGCGCATCCAAGACAAGAGAAATTAATTTTGCACATTAAAGAGAGCACGCCACGTACTATCTAGTGGCTTTCCCTCTTGATCTATAGTATTGTGCTTCTCGATTTCAATTGACTCTCTCATTTTGCGAGAGAACTTATGACTATCAATCGCCAAAATGGTTGCTTCGTCCCATTTTATACGATGGTCGTAAGTACAAGTATGTTTAGCCACAGCAGATTTATCTTGCTCGGCTTTCTCGCAATTTTTCTTGTGTTCCTTAACACGTACTGAGAGATTTCGACCAGTTTCACCAATATAAACCAGACCACATTCACAAGGAATGCGGTACACACCAGGTTTCTGAGATTCATTTACGTTGTCCTCATGTGTGCAAAGAATTCGAAACAATTTGTTTTCGCTGGAATGGTATACCTTTATACCTGCTTTATTCCTCAAAATTCTTTCGATTTTGTGTGAAGCCGGACCAATGTATGGTAGACAAAAGGACATAAGGACAGGACAGAAGGACATAAGGTTTATAGGAAACCAACACATACAGACAGGTATCTGTATTATAATTCATTTCATCATCCTAGTAT